AGGGGAGAGACCTTGCCTGAAGTCCTGAGCACAGAGCTGTGACCCAGGGCCCCCCCTGAAATCTCAGCCTCTCCACCCCCACCCACCTGGTTCCCTGGTTCCAGGAGTGTCTTTTGTTTAAGATGAGGACAAAGGGACCCTGTGGTTTTCAGGCTTAGGGCCGGCCCAGATCTCACCCAGGCGGAGTCTCTCTTTGCTGGGCAGCCCAGAATATTCCAGGGCCAGAAGTGTTCGTGTCTCACTTGTCAGTTCCCTCTTGCCCAGAGACCCCCCCTACCCCATGGGCCCCATGCCCCAAGCTCTGTGCAAGAGAACAGGCCGGAGCTGCCCTCTCCGATGGCCCCTGCCTGGGATTCCGGGGTGGAGGCAGGAGGAAGCAGAGGCCCTGGGACGAAGACCAAGTGGCGAGGGAAGAGAAAAGCAGGCTGGGGTGGCAGTGTTCTCAGGGACAACTCCCTGTAAGGCTGTCTCTGGCCCCTGTGGTCTGCACACTGCTGCCCACTGCTGCCCACCCATCAAAAGAGAAAGCGTTTGGGGAGAGTGTATCGCTCAAGTGATGATAGAGCGCACACTTAGCACTCACAAGGTCCTGGGTTCAAGCCCCATTACTGCCTCTAACAGTAAATAGATAGAGGGGGGAGGGTATAGCTCAGAGGTAGAGTGCTTGCCTAGCATGCATGAGATCCTGGGTTCAATTCCTAGTATCTCTGTTTAAAAAACTAAAAACAAATAAATAAACCTAAAATTACCTTCCCCATTAAAAAAAAAATGCAAAGTAAGTAGATAAATAAGGCTAATTACCTACCCCCCCCCAACGAAAAAAGAAAAGTCTTTTCAGTGACTGCCCAACCCAGATGACTCTGCCCCAAACTGCTTTTCCTGGATATTAGAAGAAAGGAGGAGACGCTTGCCCCCTCCTCCTCCAAGGTGATGGTGCAGGGTGACCCCAGGGGGCCCTGAAGCCCTGAGCTCCTGTGTCAAGGCTGAGGGCAGAGATGGGTGAGCTCTGATCACTATATCCCTCACAATCGTCGGAAAAAATGGTCTGAACCAGTTCTTCTCAGTGATCAGGACCCCGGACACAAAGACAGGACATGCACAGCAGCTCTGTTCACTAGAGCCAGAGGGGAAACAACGCAAGTGTCCGCCAATCCATGAATGGAGAAGCAAAATGTGACATATCTGCATGATAGTGTATATTCTCGGTAAAAAGGAAGCGCTGATACAGGCTACAACCTTGAAAACATGCTGAGTGAAGGAGGCCAGACACAGAAGATCACATAGTGCCTGATTCTATTTACATGAAATGTCCAGAACGGGCAAATAAATCTCTAGAGACAAAAAGCAGGTCCCTGGTGGCCAAACCACTTCCAGGCTGGGCTGGTGGGTGGAGGGGGAAGGTAATTCTAAAAGTATGGAATTTCCTTGGTGGGTGATGAAAATGTTCTACCTTCAATTATGGTAATGGTTGCACGAGCATGTGAAAATAGTCAAAATTTTTGAATTGTACTCTTTAAATGATCGAATTGGATGGCATGTGAATGATAGCTTGATAAAGCTATTACAAAAAAGAAAACCCACAAAAGCATAAATTAGCCACATATATAAAGCGGGGACTTTGTGGGCCAGCATAGGGCTCAGGGGATAGATCGGAAGATTTTGTTGAGATGCTGAAGGTAAGGTCCCCTGCCTCTAGCTTAGTAACCAGGGCAGTGTCCGCAGAGCACTGAAATGACTTTAGAAGATGAGTAACTTAAAATCTTGTTGTTGGCATGGAGGTACCTGGGTTTAGCATCGAGGCAGCAAGAACAAATCGTTGAAGTGGGAAGCCACAGATGGTGGGAACACCCATCAGTAAGCCACATCATGAATAATAAAGGTGATTTGATTGTTGATTTTTGTGCCCTGTGCCTCAAGGCCAAAATTGTTCCTAGTCAACACTCAGTAAATGGTGACTGTTTGTCTTCATGATAAACACGGCTCTGATGACTAAAGCCAGCAGGGATGAGCATGACCTGCCGAGAAAGGCAGCAAGCTCCCATCCCTAGAGGTCTCGAGGCCGAGGCGTGCTGACCAGCTGTCCGCTGGGTTCACTGTAGAAGGATTCCAAAGCCAGGCAGGAGTTTGGACTAGAACTTCCAAACCCTCCCCACTCCGAGAGACTTGATCTGCCACCGCAGAGCCTTGCACTTAGATTAGACATCCACAAATGTTCCCCGAGCTGAAATTTTTATTTTGATAGAAGATGTGGTTAGAAGTTATTAGAACAAGCGCAGGGGAAAAGGCAGCAAGATAAGCCTTCTTGCAGAGAGAAGGAGACAAGCTTAATTAACAGCCTGGAGATGATGAGGTGTCCCACCCGCCTTCGCATCTTCGCACACTCATCTCCACTGATACCAAACCAGAAGAGGCCATCCGCGGATCAGCAGGCAAGCCTAGCTCAGCTGTTGGAAGCCTTCCCTTAATTCTGGTTCTCCATCTAGAGCATAAACACCAAAAATCGCTCAGGCTGCATTCCACCTGCATTTTTTGAAAGCTTCTTTGGTACAGCCAGGGCTTTGCACCAGGCTTTGATTCTGCTCTCCCACGAAGACCTCCAAGAATACACTCTTCTCCCCCCTACCCCACCCCCACCAGAAGGAAACAGCCAGAGTCCAAGTCCAGAGCACTGCAGGGTCCCTGCTCAGAAGGGGCAATAAGA